TAAAGGATTGATCACAAAAATATACAGAGAACCGATGAAACTCAACAAAAATAAACAACCCCATCAAAAAATGGGCAGAAGAGCTAAAAAGACACTTTTCCAAAGAGGAAATGGCTAACATGCATATGAAAAAATGTTCAACATCACTTGTAATAAGGGAGAGGTAAATTAACACCACAATGAGATACCACCTCACCCCAGTGAGAATGGCACATCTTCAAACAACTAGCAACAAGTGTTGGCGAGGATATGGAGAAAAGAGAACTCTCCTGCACTGCTGATGGGAATGCAAACTAGTACAACCACTATGGAAAACTGGAGTTTTCTCAAACTGCTAAACATGGAGTTTCCATATGACCCAGCAATCCCACTCCTAGGTATCTACCCAAAAGGCACAAAAACACTGATTAAAAAAGCCACCTGCACCCCCATGTTTATTGCTACTTTATTTACAATAGGAAAGACATGGAAGCAGCCCAAATGCCCAAAAGTAGATGACTGGATTAAAAAGACGTGGTACATATACACAATGGAATACTACTCAGCAATCAAAAGAGATAAACTCATGCCTTTTGCAGCAACATGGATGGAGCTGGAAGGGATCATGCTTAGTGAAATAAGGCAGAAAGAAAAAGAAAAATACTGGATGTTTCCTCTCATAACAGGAGCGTGAGAGACTGGGGGTTGAGGGGGGTTGGGGAGGAAGCAATTGTCAAAACAAAAAACAATGAACAACTATATACCAGAGACATTTTATGGGGGTGGAGAGGAGAATGGGATCAAAAATGGGGTGGGAAAGGTGCACTGGACTATAGTGATGGCACACCAGTGAATTGGTGGTGGGAAGTCCATGGGGATTACAACCAAGATGGGAAAAGGCACAAAATGAAGCATGATGTAAAAATAAATTTGCAAAAATAAAAATTTTTTAATTACAGAAAAAGAGAAAGAAATCCTGTTGTCCTCTAGCTCTAAGACATTCTCTAAAATATACTCTTACTGGATTTAGATTGAGGATAGGTGAACAGGCCGAGAATGGGACACCGTGTAGAAGCTGGGGCAGTAGTGCAGGGTCACACTATATAGCCATTCAACTTGGGCACTGCCCAGCTCCAGGGAAATGTGAAGAGGTGCTTCCAGAAATACACAGGAGGATGGAGGTGAGTTAAAATGGTCAGTCTGGCTTTGTTTTGAAGGTAGAGCCCACTATAATATACTGACCAATGCAGAATTCCAAGACAGTTGGTATAAATGTTTAAAAATGACATTAGTATAACTGAAAGATAAGCCATTCTATTCTTCTGTGTTTACATTTCAAATCTGGGTAGATAGTCTGGGCCTCCCGTCCTCACCTTACCCCTCCAAGTCACATCTCCAACTTTTTTTCATCTACTCACTATCCCATTTGCCATATCATCTCTCAATGAGTCCTAGACTTTCCACTTCTGTACCTTGTTCATTCTTTACCAAATCTGATGAAATAAACCTAACTCACATGAAATTTCTACCAAGATGTTTTTCCTGATCCAGAAAATTAAAAATCAATCTCTCACCCATTCGCATTTCATTCCTGCCTTCAGTGCCTTTGTAGCAGCGCTCAGGTTAGGCAGGATAGTGCCAGATGTGCTTCTGTTTGTAACCACTCACAACTTCATCTGACCAGATACCCACCTGGACTGTGAGCACCCCACAGAGAGGACCCACGTGTTCAGTCATTGACTCCTAGCTCCTCCAAAAGATCGATTCTGGTGTTTAACAGCGAGCATTCTGTAACTGTGTTTTGAGAGAACATGCAAGCAACACAAATTTCACAAGCCGCCGAGGAATATTTCCCAGCGCAGGCCTTGCTCCAACGCTTTGGTCAATAGGACACCTGCTGCGTCATAAAGGATCCTGGCAGCAGAAGGCCTGCAGGCGGCCCTCCGCAACGTGCGTCTGACACCACGCAGGGTGAGCCCTGACTGCATCATCGGACTGTGAGCAGACTGACCGCCGGCTGCAAAAAACGCTCTGAGCTCCAAGTCGTACTAAGAGCTAAAGCACAATCCCGCCCCCCGCTCCGCCCAGTCCTCCCGAGACGCGTGGACAGAGCCGGCCCACACAGTCTCCTGCCGACTCCTGATACCAGGCAAAGGGTCGGGCGCCCGAGGGGCGCAGGCGCTGCCAAGCCCGGTGCCCCGCCTGGCCCGGCGCCGGACCGCACAGCCAATCGCAGGACAGACTTACCCAGACGGCGGCAGGCGGGGAGCCGAGGGGGCTCGGCCTGAACCGCACTGTCATTGGCTGAGGCGGTACCGCCCAGACAACGCCGCTGCGTCCTCCAGCGGGTGAATTGCCCTGTTCCGGGCCTGGCCCGACTGGGGTCCGCCACTATTATCCCAGCACCTCCAGCCTGCCCTGAAGTGCTCCCACCTTCCTCGATCCTCCTCCTCCCGGGTCCGGCGGCCCCGTTCGATCCTCCAGCAACTGCCGGCACAGTTCGTGCGCCTGAGAGCTGGGCTGACCGCTGCCTTTGGCAGGCGCGGTGGGAGGGAGGCCGGAGGCACGCCCCAAGTCCCCGAGAACAGAACTCGCGGGAGTAGGGAGAGGGATGCGGGACAAAACGGGGGAGATGCGTTGAACCGGGCCCAGAACCCGGGAGCGGGAGGCGGGTCTGCTGGTTTGGCCCTGGCTCCGTCTCTGGATACGGTATGACCTTGGGCCGGTTGCTTCCTTCCTTGGGGCTGGGTCCCTTCGGTAACTGTCGCGGCAGTTTGAAGGGGAAGCCGAGGCCCGAGGGCTTCACCTAAGCGCCTCGGGGCCGAGTGTTCCACAGGGGGCCTCCACCTGCCGGGCACTTTATTCCGAATAATAAATGCTGGGCCGGGTTCCCAGCCCGGACAGAGGCCCCGGGGGTTACCGGGTGAGGGCCGCCTGGGACTGCGACGGGTCTGGGCAGGACAGAGTCATCTTCCCACCGGCCTCCAGGGCCGGGCCCTCGGGACTCGGGGGCCTCTTCCCCACCCACAGCCGGGCGTTCCGCCTACAGGGCCGCACAAGACCAGACTGAGAAGAGGGCCGCGGGGCGTCTCTCCGGAGCTGCAGAGACGCGGACCCTTCCCTCACCCCAACCCAAGGGGCAGGGGAGGGCTCCGGCGACGCGCTCACCTTAACCCCGGGTCTCACAAGTACCGGCGCTCTCGACTTGAACGACCGAGTGGGGGCGCTGCCGCCGTTTCCTTCTAGAAGCCCCTCTATGGGCCCCCACTCTTCCAGGCCCCAGTCCGCCACCCGGATGCGCCTCGACACCTAGGGTGCGCGCGCCCGGCCGCGCGGGGCGGAGCCGGGCAGCGGGCGTCGCCCGGACGAGAGTGCACCCGCGACCTCTTCTTTTCCCTGGCGCGTCGGGACCGGGTCACTAGGCGTGCTGTCCAGCCCGATCCTAAGCCAAACCCAGACCTCCACCGCCATCCTTTTCTCGAGCTGTCAGCGGAAGGTTAGGGCGCCGCACCAGACCGCCTCAAACTGCGAGCGGCGCCTGGGACAAGTCCCTCTCCTGGAAGTGAAGAAAACCCTCAGTACGGACGGCCCCTTTCCAGCTGCTCTGCGTATTTGCTGTCTGTAGAGGTCCTCGGGGTTGATAGGTTTTGTTCTGCATTCGTGTGCTGATCTGATGGAATTGAATGATCTTTAAAAGTAATTTAAGAATAATACAACTTCCCGGAGTTGCAATAATAGTATATCAGAGGCCAGTGGGGCAGATACCCCCATAAGTTTCCAGGATGAGAACAGGCAGACTAGAGAAGGGAGAAGGAAACTATGAGGACATTTAGTGCAGAGCTATGGTTAGGACTGATTGCAGAGGGGCCAGGCAAACAAAAATGAAAGAGCTAGCCTGGTGGAACTTTAAAGAAACCAGTCACTTCTGTACCATGAACTTGGGGCCTGAGAGTGAAATATTTTATCTCCAGTTCCTGGCAAATAGGGCCTTTAAAACTGGGAAAATCGGGCCTCCCTGGTGGTGCAGGGGTAAAGTCTCAGCCTATCAGCTATCACCAGCCACTGCAGCATGAGTTCAATCCCCAGCCACTCCTCTCCTGTCTCCCCTTCAGCAGTCTATGGCAGTAGAATGGCTTATTCTACTCTCCACCTATCTCTGCTGAATCCTCTCTCTCTCTCTCT